TAGTTCCCTAACGTTGTTAGGAGATAACAAGTTGTCTTCTAAGAAGTAGCTGACAAGTAACCAAGAGAAATACATTTGATCACTTTATGGGGAGAGGACAGTGTTTATTCATTGCTAATCACCAAGGCCTTCAGATTTCTGGCTTTTTAATTCGATTTCCATATGGACCAATATTTTACTCCTTCTTGTGACTCTGCAGTTAAGCTGCCAATGGCTTCAATGAGCAAAGAAACCTCTCTGCTGTTGTTTTGTCATCCTTCATGTCATAAAACAAAGGCAGGGTGACCCTAAGTCATAGTTATTTTGAAATTAAAAGATTCAGAATAAGGTCTTTTATCTCTACAGAGCCACCCAAACATATGGCCCCATGTTCTTCTAATCAAATAGGAATATCCCCTCAATTCTCATCTTCAAGGGGACAGATATGGAAGCAGTTATACCCTTCCTGCAAGTCAAGACATTTTCAGATATCAAGCATCAGAGGTGGCTTCGTTTTATTGAACTATTAATTCAAATAGCATTACACCCATTTTTCTCAAAAGGCAAATTAGTATGAAAATGAGGAAGACACAAAACAGGAGACAACAAAGTTAAAGAAAAGGTGAGGATGAAAATAAAAACATTTCCCTCGGCATGTTCCTAAATGCTCTCCTACCGTCTTTCTCTCCTACCATTTAGGCAAGACTGATATTCATGGTGACATATTCTCTTTCTGGGATAAAGAAACCAAGGCAGTATCAGAGTAACAGACATTGTGCTTGTTACAAATATGCGCCCTTAACATTTGGCACATAATTTTGCTCTCTTTTGGTTGGTGAAAGCTGGCATACTTCATCACCGGGCTGGAGCACAGATTCTCTTCTCCTCCAACCAAAGTCACTGTGGTTGGATGCCTCTCTGAATAAAAAGGTTATGGATGTCCTGAGGGGGGAGATAGAATATATATATAACATTTTTTTTTAAATCACATGAAAACAGGACTGTAGGAAGGAGGCCAGATGCTTGATTAAAAGATGGTGACAAAACCCTGAGCTTTGTAATACTTTCCTATATTGCGTGAACTCCTTCAAATTTACTGTTGTGATCAGGATTTTCAATCCTACAAGCAAATGCTGGGAATCCATGATTTCTTTTTCTCTGTAGATTTTCAACATTATCTACTTGTAAGCATGTATATCTTGGTGTAATTCTTCTGAACAACCTTCAAACATCAGTAAAAGCCCAATGACTGGCATTTCGGAAGCAACAAACTATACTGATAATAGATTGGCTTTCAGAAGTTACTCTAAATCAGTGATTTCATTTTGGCACACAAGACAATGAAAGGAAAAAAATGAACAAAAGAATAAAGCTTTGATGATTATACTTTCTCTTGCCAAGAGCCTCCTGGAACAGGAAGAAAAAGATTTTGGTAACAATCTCCACTCTCCACGTGGCTTTCTTATAACAAAGAGCGTTGCTGGTACTGGGCCAAATTAGACTCTCGGATATTTGTATGTGCTTCTTCACCCAAATTCCAGTACTCACATAAGATTCCATCATAAGTGGTTTTTATGGAAATAATCACATCACCGAAAATCACAAGTATCTGGAACAAACTAAAGAACTTATTTTGGAATTGGCTGCTCAGAAATAGAGAGCTGTTTTTGGCAAAGTGTAATCTGTCCTTAGTATATCCTGAAAAGCCAGGGAGGTATATCAGGCCTTCCATGTACTATTTTACATGAATTCTGAGGGCCCTGGACACAATACAAAAATGTCTTTTCAAAGATAGATGATTGTGAACAATTGTAAATAAGTTATCTGTACCAAATCTCAGATCATCATAAATTATAGAAATAACCTGGCCCTTATAAAAACATCACCAACCAAAAGTAACACGAAGACTTTATAATAATGCAAAAACAGTTGGTAGATTTTATCAATTCAGTAAGGAAGAAGAAAATTAATCCCAGCTGTATCATAATACACATAAACCTCTTTGATCTAATTTAATCATTTGTAAGACTTATCCAACTCTAACTTACATTTCACCCCCAAATTTCAATGAGTGTTTCATTTTTCAAATGAGTGCCGCACACACACAATCGCATTAGAAGAGGTCACACTGGCAGCTTGGCATTGCACAGATCAAACGATGGATGGCTTAGCCACCCTGTCCATTGCCTTCACCTGCAGTGGAATTGGTGGGCAGCCACAGTCAAGGTCAATTTCATGCTTTGGCAGAAAGACCATGAGAGGAACTCTCTCTTCAAAATGCTTCACGTGAGAATAAAATGTTTCAAGGTATGGATACAGTTTAGAATTGAGAGTCTATCCATTTGTAGTAAAGCGATCTCTTATTTCTACTAATCATAATAAAATGTTACAACAACTGAAAGAGAGAACTGAAGACTGTACCTTACAGAATTTAAAAACCAGTCTTGCAAAAATCTTCCAGGTCGCCAGAACGGCCACTGAACCCTTTTAAACCCACAGTTACTTCACCTCCTGGCAATGATGAGTTTCTGGCCTTCTGTATCCTACATGAAGTAAGCATGTTAATTTCTTAGCATAGTTTCCTTATTTATCCGAGGTCTCTTCCACAGCATGCTTCCTTTCGCCCCCATCTAAGGTCTTCGGGATCCTGTTAATTTGTACAGAGATCAAGTGTATTCATTTTAAGGTCTGGGTTCACCATTAGCTTCTGGCTCCTTGTTTAAAGGGGGTACAGTAAAATTGTAAATAGTGTCAAAATATCATCCCAGAAAACCTCTAATGCATCTAATACTATTTATAAATAACTCATACAAATCAAGAGGGAAGTATTAGCTTTCACTATTCCAGGAGAGCAAGACTAAGGGAAACCTTCAGTCTGAAAGCAGACAATGACCACCATCAAAGTATACAAAAGTGAAAGGCTGGAAGCCACATTTAACACAAGGACAGCCAGCTTAAAAAGTATCCAAACCTTGTACAAGAGAGCTTCACTGCAACCCATTCTCTAAAGAATTTTTCATATCTAAAAACATTCATAACATTATTCACGATACACTCCAGATATTTTGAAAACTAATAGGTGGGATAGGGAGGGTGGGAGGGAGGGAGACGCAAGAGGGAAGAGATACGGGAACATATGTATATGTATAACTGATTCACTTTGTTATAAAGCAGAAACTAACACACCATTGTAAAGCAATTATACTCCAATAAAGATGTAAAAAAAAAAACTATATGTAATAAGAACACACCCATTAAAATTAGTTATTCAAATGTTGTTTTTTTTTAATCTGAGAATTGTTAAAACAATTTGAAGTAAGTTTCTAACCAATTGCTTGACTGAATTTAACCAACTTTTGTTTTTCAGGACGATGTGCAAGTACAAAAACAGTATAGTATCTGTAATACAGATACACACATCCATAAGAATATAATTACATAATAAATAGTATATTTCTCTCATACAGACACTGTTTTTGTGCTTGCAAATATATATATATAGAGAGAGATATAGATATATATCACATACAGATATCATTTTATAGAAAAGAAAGAAAATATTGCAATGCATTATATAAAGTCATTGTCACTGGCTTAATTTTTTTGTTTCAGTGAAGCATAAAATCAAGTTAGTATCTTCTCTATGAAACCACCAAAAATTTGTCTTACTCACTGTAAAGGGCCACCATTTATATCTCCAGATGACATCAGCACTCATGTGCAAAGTGGATAGCTTGCATACGGGAGTATGAGTGGAAAGTAAAGGCAAATGCTCTATTCTATTGCTGAAATAGAATTAAGCATAGAAAAGTGTACACTTCTCATTTTCTGCCAAAGAACATTTAAAGCTCTGTTTGGAAGGGAGGAAAAAGGGGAGGCTTTGAGATGTAAAAATTTGCTTCCAAAACTATAGACTAGACTCAATTTGGATTAATTTCCTCAAACACCAAACTTTGAACAGAACCACACAGCAGAAAGACAGCTGTACTGAAGATCTCATAATGTTGCAAAAAGGGCAACTTGAAATCGGAACAAAGGCACTTCTAGAAATTGTACCAGAACCATTTATGCGAACGTGTACACCGAATGCCAAAGGACTAGTGAATATTGTCACCCCCAACATCATTCACTGGTAGATTGCATGGATAGTATTTGATCTTGGGTTGCGGGGGAGGGGTGTGGGAGAACATGAGCTGTTTTACCATAAGTATACTTCTCAAATGTCATTTTGGAAATCAAAACGTACACAGATGGCAAAAAGTTGACCACACTTGGTAATGTGAAAAATGTCCCTGTTTGATATATGCAAAACAGGTGGAAAAATGAATGAATACTCTTTCTAGAGACGAGGCACTTCACAGATAGATTTGTAGCACGGATTGCGATGAATACCTTATTGACCTCAGTTTAAGTAACAGCAAGTAGAGTTTTCCAAACCTGTACTTGAGCTGCAAAGAAAAACAAACTACTCATCGTTTCCTTGAGGCATGCATTTCACTATGGCAAAGCGCACCGGGCGTGCATGACAGGGGAAGTCTGGGCCTGCTTCAGCCAACTGAGTAGATCATGAGCATTCTTCGAACACAAGGCAGAAGGCTTTATGGAGTGGAGAAGAGTGAGAAAATTTGGAACAATCTTCTCATTATTTCATTTTGGAAGGGCCATTCCTCAGCCGACTGCTGCTTCAGGAAGGCGATGTGATGGGACCAGACTCGGCCAGATGTTGGCTACGGGAGCAAGCAACTTTAGCAGCCAAAACGGGGCAGTGTCATGACACCAGCTGAACACGTGTCAGCTGTGAGAAGCAGGAAGATGCTGCGCGCCCGGCCAGATCTGACTGTATTATACAGTGTCCCATCTGAGACTGCATAACACACTCACTGGCGAGCCACGGGGCCTCGGAACGATGTCAGGGGCCGAACAACACACAGCACAGCAGAGGGCAATGCACAGTCAGAAAGAAAGAGAAAGAAAGAAGAATGAGAGGAAACAAGCAAGACACACGTCCGTCGTGCACAAACCTTCGGGCTCTGTGTGTTCTTTGTGATGGACTTGCTTCAGCGGGCAGCAGAAGATTTCGTGACACTTAGCACGAAAGGGGGACTCTTTTTTCTTTAATTCCGCAGATTGGATGGAATCTTGCCGTAACATAATGTATTCCTGTGTGCCAGGGGGGGCGTCATCCAGAACTGTGGTCACCACATAACAAAATGAACTCAAGTTAGAGCTTCAGGAAAGCAGCGAACGTCTTACATCAACTCTACTCCCAGGAAGACTACAGAAACAACATTCCCAAGAAAAGTTTCAAAGAAAAGCATTGCATAGCTTGGGGGTTTTCTTTTTAAGGGCTTAGTTTTATAATACGAAAGCCCTGGGAATAGTTTACTCAGCTATACACACCTCGATTGCTTGTATGATGAAAATTTAACAGTGTTAAACTGTCCCGGATGAACAATAAAACATATTAATACCAATAACCATATTGTATCTAAATAAACACCATGGAGAGCTCACATGTTTCAGCTTGAAATCTAATATAAATATTTACAGGTGAAAATGGCAAATGTCCACCAACTTCTCAGTGTATTACTTTAGGTTTTCTTCCTCAGTCTGCTCCTGGAGAGGGCCCGGCTTCCACGCACTATGTACTGAGTCTGACAAAAGAATTCATTTTTTCCCCAAAGAGAACTGGGGCTGTCACAAACATTCTTCACATATTCGAAACCCCCTAATGCAGAGAACAAATTCCAGTTGAGAGCCTAATAATCAACATTGGCTCAAAGACCTACCTTGAATTGCGGAACAGCAGGGCCTGGTTCACTAATTCTGGCCTCAGATATACACCAAGCCCCTCTCAGCTTGCTAGGCCCTTTGTGCATTGTCCTAAGCAAGACTGAATTTCTAGTGTTTTCTCCCTGCAAAAACAAGGTGTCTGCTTTTACAGGGTCTGCGGCAACATTCTTTAGCCTGGTAACTACCCACCAAAGTGGGTGCAAATTTGATCTGCATCTGCAGAAACAGAGAACTGACCCCAGCATGGATTTTTTTCTCTTTCATGCCCTTCTCAATGAGGCCATCCCATTTTACTGGGAGTGAGTCAGTGCCCCTAAAGCTATGATTCACGGCGAGCTGACTCATTCGACTCCCCCAAATGCATACACTTAACATGCATTGAGAAAGACTGACACCAGCGGCACACTTCCTATGGGGAGAATAATGCTGCAGTGTTTGTAAAATACCCACAGCTTATGGCTGAAATTAGATGGGATCTCAAGCTTCCATGTTTGGCAAAATATTCCCAGCTCACTGGCTGGGATCCTAACGGACATTAAGAACTTTCTTTCATGTAGGAGTAAAAAAGGTATAAAACCCAACATAACTTTGAAATTCGTATTATGAGTTTAGAACAAGTTCTTGATAGATTGCTTGTATGTGGAATTGTTGTCTTCCTTTATAAGTCATTAAATTATGCAAGAAGGTGATGAATATTTTAGTTACTTCTCTTTCTATTTTCCTCTAGCTCCCAGCAGCACTAATCAAAAATACTATATAGACAAACCCCCACTGCTTTTCCTGGCAGAGTTCCCTTCATCTACTAGGAATGTGACTATAACTTCTTAGAATCTGGTCGTTGAATGCACATCTTCGGTAGCAACAGCTGCTATTCAAACCATTTGCAACCATTACCTGCCATGAGCAGTTAGTTACGACAATATAGACACTTATCAAATTCCAGCATCATAGGTAAAGATAAATTCTGATTTTACCATACAAAATATTTTAGGGGGCTTCCCTAGTGGCGCAGTGGTTGAGAGTCCGCCTGCCGATGCAGGGGACACGGGTTCGTGCCCCGGTCCGGGAAGATCCCACGTGCCGCGGAGCAGCTGGGCCCGTGAGCCATGGCCGCTAAGCCTGCGCGTCCGGAGCCTGTGCTCCGCAACGGGAGAGGCCACAACAGTGAGAGGCCCGTGTACCGCAAAAAAAAAAAAAAAAAATTTAGGGAAACCTCCCAAACTTGGAACTCAAAAAAAAAAAGCAAAACCCCGCCCATGATTATACAGAAGCTGAGAAATCCCATTTTCATGCACTGTATATAAGAAACAAATTTTAAGATTAAAGGACAATTGGAGGATTAAAAAAAAAGAACAACTTTTGGATAATATATAGAGAACTTGCTATTCAGAAGTACATGATAAACACCAGTAAATTGTCTTCCATTTTCATTTTTCAATACCAAAAATGACGTCACAAATGGGCATTTCTGGAGATTAATGACAGGCTGAAGGTAATAGCCTTTGGCTGATTCTCCAGCCATCAGCTTTTCCCCGCTGGTCATTAATTCCCAGAAAATGCCTTGCACTGACATCATTATTGTTTAATTAGATACAACTGGTTATCCGTAACATACAACAAAATTCTAGTGAAAGCAACCCAGTGACTGATACAAGAACCAGCCCCCAAATTCATCATGATGGGAAAGCATGAAAGTCACAAAAGTGCAAGATAATTGCTTTCCACAAAATTCTCTCTCTCCTGTTCTTTCTTCAAGCTGAATTTAGCAAGTGCAAAAGGTGCCAAGATGCGAGCATTTAAGGTGCCATCTGAGTAATGACCACAGGCACAGAACATTTCCTTGGAAATCGTGAACACCTGGGAGTTAATGGCTTAGCTTTGGGTCCAGGCCGTCTCCACTCAATGCCCCAAACATCAGTCAATTCAGGCAAAACAGAAAGAAAAAAAAGAATATTCAATCTATCAGTACACCTGGGTGTCATGTTGACACGAGAGCTAAAAATATTTTGGACTTTGTAAACAGAAGTGGCATCATCCACGCAACACCTCACACAGGTGTATAAAATCTCTGAATGTAAATTTATTTTGGATGAAAGATTAAAACTATTATGTTAAATGCATTTATTCTTAGGGCTCCTTCAAGTAGGACAGTGGATGCATGTGCAGTTGACAGCAGCGGGAATGACAGGGGACTTCCCACAAGACCCCAGCATCAAGGCAGGTGGGTACCTTAATTCTACTTCCTTACAAAAAGGATGAGGAGACAATGCTTCCAAGGGCCACTAGCTCTAGAAAAGAGGGACACTTGTAAAGAAGTCAGCTCATCAAAACAGGAAGAAAGAATGGGATTTGCCTTTCCCTGGCTAGGTACTATGACTTCTGCTGTTTTCCCCCTTCTAGTGCATTTCTTCTCGCACATCACTTCTAGCCTCTGAAAACCACTCTCGCCTTTGTTCATTGGAACCATTTGTCCACACTTACTCAATGACTCCTGCTGTTCTTCTAAATAATATTTATCTAATCTTGAAGGTGCATGAAAGACTCCAGTGATTAGGTAGATGATAGATTTACACCAAACCTCTTCCAGTTTCAGAGGTTCAACTTGACTCTTCAAGACAGATAAGATGGTAAGAGTGGCTTAGCCCTCATGGTTGATTTCTGGGCCGTGGGGCCCATGCTTTGAGAAAGCCCACGAGCCCCATGACAACAGCAGTCAAGGAGTAGGCCTCTGCTGGGAAATAGCGCCCACTCAGCCAGTGCCCTTGGCCCTGATCACCTACTCAGAATTCCAAAGTCCCACAAGAGTGGTTGAGATTTGGAGGAGACAAGTGCACACATGCAAATTCACACACCCACAGACACGCAGACACTGACAGGTGGCATACGCAGAGATGAGGGTGGCAAAAATAAGTGACTTTACTGGTAGCATGACAGTTAAGAGCACAATTTATGAAAGACCTAGTTCCCATTATAAAAGGTGTTTATTGACTAACCATTAGGTGGGCAAGCCTGCATCCAGGATTGGTTTCCCAGCATCAGTACTGGATTGGCATTAAACCACCCCCACTCTCCCCCAGGCTTCTCAGCAATCACCTAGATCAAGGTCATGGTCAGGGCTTGGGGGTCATTCATGGTAAGGGAAGAGAGTTTATGTCTAAACCTGATGACCTGGTCTGAGGTACTCATGATCACAGAAATAGTGTTCCCATTTCAAACTGGATATAAACAAAGCATCAATCTGTAGCAAAACAATCTTTGATAAAATTAAAGATAATTCCAAGTAATATACTTCTTAAATGTATTTTTTTAGTTAAAGAAGTTAACAATCATTTACCCTTTCTATGTTTAGAAAATCCACTTCCGGAACTTCCCTGGTGGTGCAGTGGTTAAGAATCCACCTGCCAGTGCAGGGGACACAGGTTGGATCCCTGGTCCGGGAAGATCCCACATGCTGCGGTGCAACTAAGCCCGTGTGCCACAACTACTGAGCCTGCGAGCCACAACTACTGAAGCCCACGTGCCCTAGAGCCTGCGCTGCAACTACTGAGCCCGCATGCTGCAACTACTGAAGCCCATGCGCCTAGGGCCTGTGCTCTGCAACAAGAGAAGGCACCGCAATAAGAAGCCCGCGCACCTCAACGAAGAGTAGCCCCTGCTCGCTGCAACTAGAGAAAGCCCGTATGCAGCCCCCCCCCCAAAATTATCCACTTCCTGTTTTACTCTATAACTTTTATCAATAAATATAACATAGGTGGGGCTTCCCTGGTGGCGCAGTGGTTGAGAATCCGCCTGCCGATGCAGGGGACATGGGTTCGTGACCTGGTCCGGGAAGATCCCACATGCCGCAAAGCGGCTAGGCCCGTGAGCCATGGCCGCTGAGCCTGCGCGTCCGGAGCCTGTGCTCCGCAACGGGAGAGGCCACAACAGTGAGAGGCCCGCATACTGCAAAAAAAAAATAATTATATATATATATATCATAGGTTACATAAAATACCTACCCAAATATTTAGTAGTATCACGAACACTACAATCTTCCACAACATTCCAAACACAATTCCTTTAGCGATAACTTAATGCAACCCCTTTGTCTTAAAACATAAGGTAAATAAAGCTCAAGAAGGGGAAGTGACTTGACAAGCCACACAGCTATTGGAAAAGCACAGCCTAGAAGCCAGGATTCCAGCGTGCTTACCAAAAAGTCTAAGGTAAGACTGCTTTGTACAAACATTGATATATTTAACAGGGATGGGGATCACCGGTGTTTCTTAGCTTCAAAGATTATCTCTGTCTCCAACGAAGTTTTCTGTCTTTTTTTTTTTTTTTTTGCGGTATGCGGGCCTCTCACTGTTGTGGCCTCTCCGTTGCGGAGCACAGGCTCCAGACGCGCAGGCTCAGC